ATATTGTAATATGCAATATTGTTTGTAATTGTAATATTAATTTCAAAATGACAAATGAATATATTACATTATCCTAATATCTTCCTCATTATAGACATGACTTTTAACGACTATCAATAACACGTTTGCTGGTATAATATTTATCGCGGAATGACGTATCTTTCGAGTGATCTTATCTCTTTCAAAATGTAATAGTTCGGTAAAAAATTCTTGTACATAATTATACATAAACGGTTATACATGACTAATTTATACGTAGTTTATTTGTAACGATTATAAATTGTGTACAACCGTTTATGCATAATTATGCATAATTATGTATAAAAAATTTTTTATCGGGGTGCTCAATTTTAAAAGAGATAAGATCATTCAAAAGACATGTTATTCCGTGATGAATATTATACTATCAAACGTGTTATTGGTAGACATTGAAGGTTATACCTATGTTGAGAAAGTTGTCATATATTTTTGAAATTAATATTACAAATATACAAACAATATTGCATATTACAACATAAATACATAATAAATACAACATAAATTACAAAAACAAATCTTTTGATTATACTACAAAAATTGAATCTTAAAAGATTTTAAATTAGAACAGATCTCCAAACTTTAAAGACAGGAAATTATTTATGAATAATTGACCACACAACATTTTACCTGCAATTATACATTTACTAAAAGAACAACATAATAATATCAATTTATAGATTATTAGTAATTATAATTTTTAAATGAAAAATTAAATGCTAAAAAAATATGTACATATATTACAAATTTTGCTCTGAAAGCTTCAAGTGACTATAGAAATGAAAAAGATTAAGTTAGTTTTATTGACTTGTTATTTTATATTTTGAACGCGTTAGATTCTGCAAGAAATTCTAGAACAATAATTTTATTCAGCATTCAAATACTTTTTGAAATATAATATTATAATACATATTCCAAAGATTTATATATGTATACGGAATGTGTCCACATTTAATTTTATAATAAATTATACATAATTATGTAAATTTTTACATAATTTTGTATAGTGATGTTTTTATATATGAAATATGATTACATATGAAAAAAAATTGTTTACCGGGAAACTATAAATAGACAAAAATCTTAGTTAAGTAAAAAATTGCAATTTGTTGCAATAACAAGTAGAAAACTTTTTTATAATTTTTTTATAATTTCATAATTAAATAAATTTTATAATTTAATAATCAAAATTATTAAACATTATAAAATCATAGAAACGTACTTATACAAATACTATTATTAATAATAATATACAAAAAGAGAATAAGCATGTAAGGGAATGTGTGTATCTCACAATCAGAGATGTTGATTATGAGATGAATGATTCTAATATATATTAAGCTGCTTTATTCAGTTTTTTTTACAGTTTTCATAGAGTTTTGTGTATCTTTTTTGTGAAAATCAATCAAAGAAAAATTCATGTTGTGCTTGTATGTATTGATGAATGTATGGACGGAGCGAAAGAAAGTGAAAAGATCTATTACTCAATTATTATTATTATTTTCAACTCTATTATTATGCTGTGTACATAGCAGTTGAACACAGCAACCATAAACCAAACCGGTACCGGACAGATCATGAATCTTCTCAACAATGATGTCATTCGCTTCGATCAATTAACAATGTACCTGAATTACATATGAATCATGCCTTTTATTAATCCTTTATTTCGTGAAAGTATTCGTGTACCGCGGTAATTAAACAGCACTTTGATCATACTCTTGAAAAAAGTTACTTAAATTTATTAATCTCTTTTGTAGATTCTTGATAAGTATAAATTTTAATAATTGTAGTATAATTCGTAAAAAATCTATTATAGATTATATATGCATATAAGCTATTTGTATACATTTTACAACTTCGTGAATTAGTTTAAACTGTAAAAACATAAGACATCTTCTTTTCACTTGTTTCGAACTTGCTCTTAAATAATTGTCTGTTCAAACTGACCGGGCTTTATTTTTATTTGCAGATCGCTATCATAGGAACAATAATGTGGCAAAAAGTCGGTATTTCGAGTTTTGTCGGCATCGGGACATTGTTAATCATCGTCCTACCAGGACAAGGGACTTTGCTTCTTGAATCTCAAACTCAGAACCATTTGCGCCTCTGATCGACCGAAGAGTGCAACTGATAAGCGAACTCATAGCTAGGATACAGGTATCCTCAAAAAATTGTTTAGTTATTTTATTCTTGAACGATATAAAAGCTGAATAAAAATATTAACATCCAAGTATCATTTATAAAAAAAATTTATGAAACAAATTTATGAGATGGTAATTCTCGGTTCAGGTGATGAAGATGTACACCTAGGAGAAACCATTCAGCCAGATGGTAATCAGAATCAGTAATAAGAAAGTTGGAGATCAAGTAAATCAAATTCTCGTAGTATGCGCCGCATATTTGGCCATCATAGACTTCACTGAACGATTGACCGTCTACTTCATGTTATCCCTGATAACGTTTGTCTAAATAATTTGACTCCTGATATGACTTATGAAATAATTTGACTCCTGATATGAAATGTCGACATACTTTAACATACTTCAACTCGTCGCGTTGTACTTTCCACAAAAGCTAATACTGCTGGGTGAATTAATAATGTCATTCAATAGATTGGAAGTATATGTTATCATATTATTTTCTAATTTACGGTGAACTTAAATCTGTAAGTATTGTTATATTTCTATTGTCACGTATTAAAGTGTACTTAATTTTTACAGAATTTTTTGCTGATTGATGAAGTGAACATGACACGCTTCTCGGAAAACACACGAAGTTGTGAATTTAAATCTCAGTTTAAATCTCAGGAACCAAAGGAAGCAACTAGTACAGACAACTATAGATTGATACATCTCGAGAAATGGAAGTATTGTTCTATCCGAATATCAAAGATTATCTGACCATCCGGTATATGTAAAGCTTCAGCGGGTTTCCGCCAATTGGATCAATGGCCAATTGACGTTGACTCTATCAAGCCAGGTTAATTGTGTGCTATAGTCGATGCAATAGGCAAATCGTCTATATTACGTCTACTACTGAAAGAATTAAATCCCGGCACTCCAGCTTCCATAATCCTTACTCAGGGCTCCTCGAAGTAATTTTCCGAGCAATTTTCTTAGCATTATTTTTTTCGTTTTTAAATAATTTAAACTAAATTAACTTTATTCAGATTACATTTATTATGAAAGATAAATTCAAGTAATAAGATTATTATTTTGCCATCGTGCAGCATTCGGACACTAATTCGGATTATGTGGAGAACATCCCGAAAGCCGAGATGACGGCACACAGTCGAATAGCCGGCAGAGTGTGCAAGGAATATCTGCATGACGATAGCAATAATTTCACGCTATTTGTACTGTTGATGATCTTCAGTCAGGTCGCCACTACCGGGAGTGATTACTGGCTGTCATACTGGACTACTTTGGAGGATGTGAAGCGTATTGAAAATACTAGTGATGTCAAACAATTCGCGGATATATATAACGATAGTTTCCTTGGGTTGATCTTCACGTTGAACCCGGACGGCCTGCTGAGCACTACGGATGCCATATACGTATACACATTCTACATCATCACCTGCATCGCTACCACGCTGTTTAATTCTCCACGATTCTTCACGAATTCGTCACGAATTCGCCACGATTCTGTTTTATTTGTTTAGAAAATTTACGAGCATTTTCATTCTAATAAATTATCGAACTTACATCGATTTCGATTCCTGGACTTGTAATTTCTTTTCTCGATTCTTGCAGAGAGTTAACGATTTTTGTATTCCAGAAAGAATTTTAAACAGATTTTCGAAGGATATGGGCATCATGGATGAGTGGCTGTCCAAACTAATATTGGAGGCAAGAGGTTTTAAGTAGTATGTGGTACAATTATCATGGAGGCGATAATCAGTGGATGCTGACATTGATAGCCATACTAGTCATCTTGTTTTTCTTCGCTACGAAATCCTATATGAAGATTGGTCAAGACCTCAAACGTCTCGAAGGCGTAAGTAAGTATATTAGAGCAAGTAACACGTTATTAGAAAAAAGTGCGGTATATATTACATCCTGAGATCTAAATTCGTGAACTCCTGCCAAAGAATTTGTATTTTTAAGTTCTTACATTTCCCGAAATTTAATAAATTATTCAGAAATTTTTTTGAATATGTTTTTGCGTTTTCAGTGAAGAGTCCCATATTCTCATACGTAAATGCCACTTTGAATGGTTTGTCGACGATCAGAAGCAACGGCATTGAAATCGAGAAATTAATGCGAAAACGATTCAATGAATTGCAAGATCGTCACAGCGGCACGTGGTATCTCTTTTTAACATGCGCTATAGCTGTCGTTGCGGATTTAATAATGTGCCTGTTCCTCGCCTGCATTTGCTTTTGTCTAATACCAATGAATGAGACTAGTAAATTATAATATATCTAATTAATTAATAAGTTCTTAGTTAAGGAGAGTTAAATTTTTTTTCTAAATTTTTCATAAAGATTCAAAAGGCTACAATTTAGAAGAATTAATTAGTAGAATTAAATAAACTTTATGTTTTCATTCTTATTTCAGTGTGTGATTCTTTTTCTCAATCATCAGACTATTGCAAGTTCTTTTTATTCTTTATACTACAGACAGTATAGTTGGCAGCAAAGCAGGTCTAGCAATATCGCAGTTCTGATCGTTCGTCTACAATATACTATAAAACAGTCGAGTTTAGCGAGTCGGTGTCATTGATGACCTCCGTGGAAAGGATTCTTCAGTACATGAACCTTCCTAAGAAAGAACCTATTACCTCGGACAATCCACCGTCACCTACATGGCCATCCCAAGGACAATTGATTTTAAAGGATGTGAACATGAAATATCATATCGATGATTCACCAGTTTTGAAGGTATAAAATAAATTGAAGGTATAAAATAGATCGAAAATGTTCATTCTTACAAACATTATTTGTGTTTTATCACATAATCGGGCTTTACAGAATCTGAATGCATCCATCGAGCCTGGCTGGAAAATTGGGATGGTTGGACGAATTGACGCCGGCAAGTCCTCCTTGATCTCGGCACTTTTCCGCTTGTTCAATGAAGGTCTAGAAGGCGAGATCAAAATCGATGGTCGGGACACAAGCACGATGGACCTCAGTAAACTGCGCTGCAAAATCTCCATTATACCTATTAACCATTATACAGAAACCTGTGCTCTTTTCTGAGAGTCTATGTTACAATCTGAATTTAATCAATACGATGACTTCAAGCTATGGGAGGTGTTGCGGCAAGTCCAGCTGAATGATGTTACACTGGACTGGATACGATATCTTCAACATCGGTCAGAGGTAACTCATATGCCTGGCCAGAGCCATCTTGAAAAACAATCGCTTGCTCGTTCTCGATGAAGTCACGACAATATTGATTCGCAGTGAGTCTTTACGATTCTTATTTGTATTTAAATATCATTTGAAGACAATAAATTTTGATTGATTAATTATATATCAATAAATTCTCCATAATAAATGAAGTTACAGTAATCGCAACAAAGTCATGATGACATGCAAATATTTACTTTGTCACGGGTGTGATATGACAGTAAAATCATTGTACTGTACGAATATCTACTTTATTACAGATGTCATATCATTAAAGGAGTTTACAGATGTCATAGTTATAGGCAATCATAGATTTATAAAAAATGTTCGAATAAATCAAATTTAATTAATGCTTATATTACTATAGGCGTGTTTCTTAAATAGCACGCTAATCATAAAACATTATTTTTAATTAAAAATTGAATCGAAAAGTCGTCTACAGTTTTGAAATTTTCGCAATGGTTGACGAAATATTAATTTCTAAATATTTCCGAATTAATCAGAAATAACACCATGATCCGTTATTTAAGAAACACCCTATATCATATCTGTAATATTTTCCATACATATTGCAATAACAATTTTTATTCAAATATAAAATTATAATATTTTTTTTATGTCGCATAATCTATCAATATGATTTTTAAAGGAATTGAAAATGTGCTTACATAAACTTGCTAGACGACATATTGGAAGCACTCGGAACACCAAAGGAATATCAACGGTTACATAATTGGATAATTCGAATTGTAATCGAATAGATTGTGTACGTTTGTTCTCACTTAGAAATTAATAATTTTTTTAAATTCTCTTTTTTAATGGAAAAAAAATTTTGAAGAAATTTTTATCATTTTTATGTATAAAATATTTGTAAACATATATCCAATATATATTATTATTTTTAGTACTTTATTATTACCTTTTCTTTGATTTCTGGAACTATTTTTGGATTAGTACATATGTATAGGGGAGACCGGGGCTAATAGATTCATTTTTCAGTTTCGAATTTTTAGATAAAATTAAGAGACTTATCGAAAAAATGAATTCTACACCAATTACTACATACATTTGACTAACTCCAATAATAAGGAGAATTTCAATAATAAGGAGAAACTGATAACTAATATGAAAAAAAAATGCATTTTTCTAATTCCTCTCTGTATCTGATTCAACTAGCCCCGGGACCGGGATAATTCGATTAAGATTATTAAAATAAAGATTAATGTATTTTAAGCTACATCTTTGGCTACATATTAATAAAGCTTTTATAAAAATATATTTTAAACACAAACATTCGCTTCGCAGAGTAAACAATACTTCTTTTTTGCAAAATTTGTTCATTTTGTGTTGAACAAGTAGTATCTTAGTTTTCGAGATTGGACATGAGGGAACTAAACTTATAACATTTCTTTTCCTCAGTGAAATAAAATTTTGAATAAGTATTATAAGAGTCACTAAATGAGTCACACAGTTCCGTGCTGTGGTTAGTCTACTATCCCCATCCGTTCATTTTTTTAAAATATTAACAATATACGATAACAGAGACACATAACAAAAAAAATCTATTGGTCTTTATTAAATAAGAACTACACTTACTAAGTAGAAATCAAATATCTCAGACAATCATATACGAAAAGTAAAACAAAAACTTTAAGAATAAAAATATTTATTTAGGTGTACGATTTTTTAAAATTGTGACATAACTTCTATCATAGATGTGTTCGCAATAAGATATTACACAGACTTAGCGGCAGTCGCTGCTGCGTGTTCAGACATATTTACGCATGTCTCGCGTGTTTTGTTTTTAATGCAGCCTCGATTATTCTACTTATCTCTATTTTCAACTAACCCCGGTCTCCCCTATTATATAATTTACATTGTAACCAATTTTTGTTGATATTATGCGTCAAAATGTTCACAGTCTGAAACAATTAAAAATCTTTCGATAAATATATAAAAAAGGTACTTCCAGTGTCCATGACCTTGACAACATACGTATGTACTCGTATACAATATATATATATACAATATATATATATACATACAAAATTAATAATATATACGTGTATATATATATATGTGTGTGTGTGTGTGTGTGTGTGTGTGTGTGTGTGTGGGTGTGTGTGTGT